CGCAGGGCTGGGGGGCCCCGGACGCCCCGCGCGGCCATGGCGGCGCCGGGGGACCCGCGGCGGCCCTACCGGCTAGCGCAGGAGGGCCGGCTGTGCGCCCTGCGGGAGGAGCTGCGGGGAGCCGGGCGCGCGAGCTGCCCGGGGCCCGCCGGGGACACCCTGCTGCACTGCGCCGCCCGCCACGGCCATCGGGACGTGCTGGCCTACCTGGTGGAGTCCTGGGACATGGACATCGAGGCCGCCAACCGGGACTACAAGCGGCCTCTGCACGAGGCTGCCTCCATGGGCCACCGGGACTGCGTGCGATACCTGCTGGGCAGGGGAGCCGCGGTGGACTGCCTCAAGAAAGCCGACTGGTAGGTGGCTGGAGTTCCAGAAAGATCTCTCCCCCGTCCCCGTTTCCGCAGAGTCCCAGATTCCCGTGTGTTTTGTCCACCTCGACCCCATAGCTTCTCAGCCTTCCCCGACAGGACAGATGACCCACTGCGACCACTGTTCCTACTCTTGCGGGGTCAAGTGCTCCAACCTTGTGTTCCAAACCCGTTCTCTTCATGAAAGAGTATGAATACGATCAAACAGGGGATTGTCTGTACCCTGTATAGCTTGAGCCTCGCCTAACTGCATGAGTACACCAGTGTCATTGTTTGAACTTGCTACTTTGAAATAGTTAAAGGTGCACAGAAGGTTGCAAACAAAGGTTGCTGGAAGCCCCACAAGCCCCCCCCCCCAGCTGCCCCTAAAGGTACCATCTTACATAGCTGCAGTACGATATCAAAACTAAGAAACTGACGTTGCTGCAATCAGTGTACTCATTCAGATTTCACCAGTTGTAAGGACACTTGAGTGTGTGCCGTGCTCTGTGTGATCTTATCACGGGAATAGCCTTGCATAACCGCCTCCACAGTCCACATACTCACCTGTGCCATCACCCAAACCAGCTGCATTTTGTTAGAGCGACATTGTGTTCAGTACTCACTACCTGGGCCTCCTTAGGGGTTATGAACAGCCTAAGATTCATAACGTAATGAAGTTCCTGCCTGCAACAGATTCCTGATCTGATAGAAGTATGAGCCACGGCAGATAGCCTTATAGTTAAATAAAGTGTGTCTTGCCCACTGGGATGGGGGAGTCTGCATGGGTATGTGTTGAGGGCTGCACTTTGGCCATGACTTAGCACAAGACTGAATTTCTGCTGCTGCTGGGCAGTAGGTCTAAAGACCTTAACAAGAAACACGTTACCTCATACGTGCCTCAAAACAATTCTGTGGGGAACCGGCCTCCCCTCAAAAAACCATTAAAGGGCAAGGTTCATTTGACGATGTATTTGGCAGGTATAGTCCTAGGGAGGCATTTTTGCCCATTCTCCCCTTCCTGGCTTTCTGCTGTACCTTCCCTGCTTTTCCAATCCTCATGCCTTGCTCAAGATTCTTCCCTCTGTGAAGTCTTTCTGGAAGGTTCCAGCCTTCATTTATTTGGGTTTCCCCCTCTTACTGTCACTACTACATCCCCCCCCCAAAGTGTTGGTAATTAATTAATATCATAACAATCTTAGGAGCTAGATCCTAGATGAGGCCTTGGAGGTCATCCAGGTATAGTGAGCTCCCCGCTGTGTGCCAGACGTGGGTTCTAACCCCTGGGAATAAGGAGGTAAGTAAGATCTGCCCTTGCTTTCCAGGGGTTGTGTCTTCCTCATTTTGCAAGGAAGAAACCAGAAGCTCATGGAATTGAAATGGCTCATCCAAATCATTTATGTGGCAGAAAAGGAAAGATAGAGCCACCTCCCTTGACATTCATGTAGCTTATTCCCATAACTGTGGACACAAGTCAGTTCAGAAACTTCTTATAGTCACGCTGTTTGGTTTGTGTCACCAATGTGTGCTCCTCATGGGGAGGCACTATGTCCAATGTTCTTTTTTGATGCCTTCTCAGCACAATTTAAGAAACAGTTACTGATTGAAGTAAATGGGAGAAGTCTGGCAGGGTACCTCTTACACAAATACTACAAGACAGACTGTGGTTTCGATTCGCTCTGTCTCAGTTCAGTCCCATAGTGCAAACTAGTTCAGAAGCGGGCCTGCCTCCTCGCTCTTCCCCTCCTTCAGGTACACCTATTCTAGGGGCCTCACAGCAGGCAGAGAAGTTGCCCATCGAAGCTGTTTTCCTGCTTCCCAGACCCCCGAGTCCCGTAGGTTTTCATCTCTGCCAAGGACACGTGATTTTCTGAAGACCCGGTCGCACACTTCTAACGTCTCAGCTGCCCTTCCGTCTGACGGTTTGTCCTCATTGGCCTTAGGACCCCACTGATGATGGCCTGCACAAGGAGGAATCTCGAGGTGATCCAGGACCTTGTGGAACATGGCGCTAATCCACTTCTTAAGAACAAAGACGGCTGGAACAGTGTCCACATTGCCAGCCGAGAGGGGGACCCTGTGATCCTCCAGTACTTGCTCACTGTTTGCCCAGACGCCTGGAAGACAGAGAGCAAGATCGGGAGAACCCCCCTGCACACGGCAGGTACGGCCAGGAGCCCTGCAGGGACGCGTGCGTAGATGTGCAGCCACTTGGCCTGACGCCGCAGAACGCCTTCTAGTTAGAGTCGCCCACGGGGTGGGGTTCGAAAACTAGAGGGCCAGGAATAAGAGCAGCTTTGGGGCATCTTGGCACACAGTTTGCTGTCCAAACTAATGGAACGTGGCGCAGACATTCTTCCTCGCATTCATTTGCTTTTCCTGTATATCTGTCCAATCCTCCCCAGTTTCCTAGACAGAAAGCTGGTTCTGTGCCTTACTGTCTTTGACCGTGGACAACGAACTTAGTCTTTTAAGTGAGTTTCCTCATCAGCAAAATCATGACCATAACGATGCCCGTACCACAAGGTTGTTGTAGACTTCAAGGAACGTGATGTACATAAATCCCTTGGCACAGTGCTTGATGCACAGTGAGCACAGAACAGCTGGGTGTTGCTATTTTCAGCATCTTCTTACGTTGTTACTGTTTCGGGCAGGATAAAAAGAGACTGTATTTCTGCACATAGTCAGCAGCACCTACCATAGTGCTGACCATGTAAATAAATGTAGGTGCTTGTAATTAAGTACCTGGGCCTGAGTGTATTTGACTTATCCAGTGATAATGTCAATAAAAACTTGGGGCACAACTGAGTGATTATCCTTAAATCTGAGTTGCCTATGTGTAGATTATTTTTAATTAGTGGAAAGCAAAAAATGCTGTGGTATAACGCAGATATTAAAGACCTCAAAAGTCCAGATCAAGACATTTAGAAAATAAGGGCTCCGGGTGGCTCACCCAGTTAAGCACCTAGCTCTTGATTTCAGCTCAGGTCACGATCTCACAGTTTGTGGGCTCAAGCCCCACTTCGGGCTCTGTGCTGACAGCGTGGAGCCTACTTGGGATTCTCTCTCTCCCTCTCTTTGCCCCTCCCCCACTCACTATCTCCCAAAAAACAAATAAACTTTAAAAAAAAAAGAAATTTAGAAAATAATCTTCAGCCTTCTGCATAGCACATTGAATTAGAATACAGGGCCATAGTTTCTCAAAACCTGAATACCTATGACACGATATAGTTTAGGAAATACGCATACAATTATTACGGCCACAGAGAGCAGTTAGAGACCAAGGAATTCTTTCTAAAACTTTATAAGTGAAGGGCACCTGTCGGTTAAGCATCCTACTCTTGATTTCAGCTCAGGTCATGTTCTCGTAGTCATGAGATTGAGCCATGCTTTGGGCTCCATGCTAAGTGTTGTTTAAGATTCTTTCTCTCTCACCCTCTGCCCACTCATGTTCTCTGTCTCTCTCAACTAAAAAAAAGGTGGGGGGGGGAGCACTTTATAAGTGAGTAGAAAAACTTTTCTTTTTGCTCTTGAATTGTTTGACTAGTTGCCATAGAAACTAGAAACAAGCAGCACCTAGCCATTCACAAAAAGTGGTGGAGAACAGATAGTTGAAATCTTTATTATCAAGTTTGGTTGTCTTTAGCAGGAGAATTACATTCCTGGTTATTTTGTTGTGGATCACTATTAATAGGTTTGTCTATGATAATATGTTTTTCCTACACAAAAACTGACCGGCCCTAAGGATTTGCAGCACAAAATTGAAGAGAAAGTTTAGGACTGAGAATTTGCCATGAAAGTGCTTATAAAGACAAGATAATCAAATGTTGACTAGCAACATCTTTACCACTTACCCAGCTAAATTTTTATTTTTCTAGTGTGGTAACAGTGTATCTAATTACTGCTTCCCATAAGTGATAGCTAAAAGGACAGGGCAGAAAGAAGAGGAAAAGAAAGTTTTATACATGCACTAAAAGGCTCTGACTCTCAACTCTCTTCTCCCAGCAATGCATGGCTGTTTAGAGGCAGTAAAGGTGCTTCTACAGAGGTAAGAACAAAACGGCAAATTGAACAAAGTATTCACCAGTTGTGATGCTTAATATTGATACTGTAAGTAGAGCTCAGAAAAGTTGCTCAGAAACTACAGTGCGAAAAGAGAAGTGAACAAAGAACATAAGATAACTCAAAGAATATGACACAAAAATAGCTGACAACCATAAGGGGGAAAAATCATCCATGTATCTGTTCATTCGACAAGGATTCATGTCTTCATTCGTTCAGCATCTAAGCTCTAAGCACTCTGCCAGATGCACGGGCTACAACAGAAGCCAGCCAGCATGGGTCCCCCCTCATGGAAGTCACACACAGGCAGAGAAGACACTGTTCGCATCCTGTGAGTCTGATGAGTGCCAGGAATTGCAGGATCCCTCCAGGAACATAAGACAGGGAGACCCAACTTGGCCGGGAGTGTGAAATCTTGGCCCCAGGGATATTTAAGCCATGATCTGAAGGAGGCTGAGCGTGGGAGGTGTGGCAGCATTCCAGGGGTAACAGTACCCGGGAATGCTCGGAGCAGAGAGAAAGCATATGTGTTAGTAAGCTGAGAGAAGTTCAGGGTGTGCTGATACCTAAGGAGTGAAGGGAGGACAGTGCGTGATGAGGCTGGAGAGGAAGACTGGACTCAGTGGGGCTGTGTGAGACTCTAGATCTTATTCGAAACGTATAAGACCTCACTGAAGGGTTGTAAGCAGAGGGGTGGGTGGACGGCAATAAGAAGTTTACATTTTTTAAGGTCCTCTGGTTGGGAAACAGAGAGCGGGTAGGAAGGGAAGCAGGAGTGGGTGCAGTGAACATTGGGAGGCCGTTACAGTTAAACGAGAAATCGTGGCTGTACTAAGATGCTGACTGTAGGGGTGGAGAGAGAGATTGGGAGATACTAAGGAAGCGGAATCAACAGATCTGGGTGAATAATTGGATCAAGGGAATGAGGAAGGAGAAGTCAAGGATGACAGGTTTCTCACTGAAGCAGCCGGCGGTGGTGCTGGTGCCATTTACTGAGACAAAATACTGCAGGAGGAGCAGGTTTGCGGGGAAAATGATAATTTCACTTTGGGACACGTTGAGTTGCATGTGCTTGTGAGGCACCCAAGCAGAGACATGGAGTGGGGAGCTACAGACACAGATCTGAGTCCCACAGGAGAGGTGTGAGCGGAGCTATAAATGTGAGCATCATCAACATAGAAGTGTTGACTGAATTCACGAGACTGGGAGAGGTTATCTGAGGAGATGATGTATAGTAGGAAGAGAACAGGGCTTCATGCAGTGCTGTGCAGGAGCAAAGGTCGTACGGTAGATGGAAGGGAGAGGAGAGGCCTCTGTGAGGTCATATCGAAACTGTAATTTGAAGGAGAGGTTGGAGTTCACCTAGCGAAGAAGGGAGAAACGGCGTTCCAAGCAGAGGGGATCAGCAAATGCAAAGGCAGCAAAGAGCTAGGCAACTGGAGGAGAAGAGAATGACCACGGAGAGGGTAGGACAGATAGGACCGTGACAAAGGTAGAACAGGTGGAAGTGGGACCAAGAAGGTAGGAGAGATAGGACCCTGAAGGTAAGAATGGAAGAAGATAGGAGAGGAGGGAGGTCAGGTAAGGAGGAACGGAAGAAGGTGGGTCAGGTGGGAAGCAGGACCAGGACGAACAGAAGACCAGGAAGAAGGTAGGAACAGAAGACAGGATGGGTGGGAGGTAGGACAGGTAGGAACAGAAGGTAG